CCAATGTGCCCCTCTAGTGATGCCACTGTGCCCTCCCCCAGCCCAGAGCAGGTGCACCCCTGGGTCCCAGGAGTGCGCCCTCACACTCTCGGATGAATGATCTCAGCGAATCCACGACTTCCTTCCATCCTCACGTGGAAAGCAGGTGTGTGCCTCCAGCCATCCAGCGGGGCAAAAAGAAAACACCTTCCCCCAACACATGGCGCGTGGGGGGTGGTCTCACTCCATGAAGGCCCCCCCGGGAACTGGTGCTGGAAACCCTTCGGTGCCACTCCCTCTTCCAGGCACTGTTGTTAGGACGCAGCTCACTGGCACCCTCTACAGGTGTCTGCGATGACCTGCCTCTCCCCTCCTGAGAGACAATCCCTCAACAAGGTTGAATTACTGCTATTGTTCAGGTGCTCTGTGCTGCTAACTGCAAGGTCAGCAGTTCGAAACCACCAGCCTCTCCAAGGGAGAAAGACAAGGCTTCCTACTCCCGTCAAGCATCACAGCCCCAGAAACCCACAAGGGCAGTTCTACCCTGTCTTACAGGGTCACTAGGAAATGGGATCAATGTGATGGCAATGTGTATGAGGGTTTGGGGTGGACAGGATGGGGAAGGAGGGGATCATTGAGGTGGCCATATGGGCCTTGGCTCAAAGCAGAAAACCAAACCCACTGCCATCGAGTCCGTGCCGACCCATAGGGACCACGTAGGACAGAGCAGAACTGTTCCACAGGATTTCTGAGGCTGCCAGTCTTTAGGGGGAGCAGACAGCCTCAGGGTTGTCCTGCAGGACAGCTGGTGGGTTTGAACTGCCAAGCTTCTGGTTAACAGCCCAGGGCATCGAATTGGCATTGACTCAATGCCAGGGAGGTTCTTCCTCGGGCAGAGATCTTGGAAGTGCTCTTCCAAGGTCCTGGAAGCTTCTCTCATCACTGCTGCTTCAAAAATGGTTCATCCTTATAGCCAGGGCAGCGGTCATGAAAGTTGACCAATCCCCTCCATGAGTGCTACACATGCCCTATTTGCATAGCCCCACCCCATCATTGGCTGGGAAGGCCAGAGACTTGGGCCGTTTCACTTTACCAAATATGATGTCCTTCTCCAGGGACCGTTCTCCCCCCAAAACATGTCCAACGTATGTAAGAGGAAGTCTTGCCATCCTTCCTGTGTTTCTGACTGTACTTCTTACGACACAAATTAAGGTGTCCTTAATATTCTTCTCCAGCTCCACAATTCAAATGCATTTTTTCCCTTCGGTCTTCCTTAATCAGTGTGTTAGACAGGGTTCTCTAGAGAGATAAAACCAGATTGCTGATAATTTTATATCTATATTTATAAAGATAGATAACAGAAGAAATGAACTGTTAAATTATAAACAGATAGATATATAAGAAATGAACAGCTAAATTATAAAGCAGTACAAATGGCTCAGTGCAACTCACTCCCGTGAGAGAGTTGTGAGACACTGGCAGTCCTTCAAGTCTTGAGGGCCGTGCGGTAGTCCTCTGTAGAGAGAGAGCTAGGCTATCCCAGCACGGGCAGCAAGACAGCCAGCAGGCCACCAACTGTCAATCCTCAGCTCCAGAGATGTAAATTTCAATCGTGTGGTCTTAAAGGGACCTCAGCTTACAGCGACACAGTCCACAGACTAGGCATCCCACAGGTAGTATAGCCTGTAAATTGAGGCACACAACAAGCAAGGCAGCCGCACACTGGTCCGATGATCAAAGAGCGAGAGACAAGAAAGGCTCACCGAGCCATTTATCTCTCCGCCCTTCAATTAATCCCACTTGTGTTTATTGGCCAGGCTGGCACAATAGACTAACTATCTCAATCAGTGTCCAAGTTTCACAGGCCTATGAGGCCATGGAGAATAACATCGTTTGGGTCAGGTGCACCTTAGTCCTCCAGGGAACACCCTTCCTCTTCAGTGCTCTACAGAGGACTTGGGCAACGGATTCACCTAATGCGATACGTCTTTTGACCACTTGACTGCTGCTTCCATGAGCATTTGAGAGACTTGGGTAAAAGAGCCGAGTCAAACAGT